TTTTTTTTTTTTTTTGGCAGTGCTAGGGTTTGAATTCAGGGTCTTATGCTTGCTAGACAGGTGCTCTACTATTTGAGCCACTCTGCCAGCCCTTTTTTTTGTGTTGGGTATTTTTGAGATAGAAGCTCAAGAATTGTTTGCCCAAGCTGGCCTCAGAAAAGTGATCCTCCTGGTCTCTGCCTCCTGAGTAGCTAGGGATTATAGGTGTGAAGCACTGGCACCTGGCTTCATTGTTAATTTGAGAGCTCAGTGGATACTCATCCTTTATCGGATGTTTGGCTTGCAAATCCTCCTTTCAGTCTGGGGCTTCTCTCATCCTTCCAGCAGCCTCTGCACAGAGAGGGTTGTTAGATCCATCCTTTCCTTCCTGTGTTTGGGGAGACACTTGCAGTGTCAAGGCCAGGAACCTCCTGGCCTTGGATCCCAACAGTCTTCGGCTGTGTTTTCTGTCTGTGCCTTCACAACGTGGTGGTTGCTGTCCATGTCCTTCATGCCCGGGTAAGGTGCTCCGAATCCCCCAACCTCTTCTTTTTCTGTTTTTACTGTTTTAGTCCTGTGCTTTCAATGTAAATCTTATTTTTTACTTTTTAGATGATATCCCTGGAATGGTAAATATGTTCTTAAAATGTTACAGTGTTTATTAATTGACATTGTATCTCTTTTGCATTACTTCTTAGTTGTTTTTGTTTCTTTCTTTAATGAGTTGATTGTAAAAATAACAAAATGATAAGCAGCAGAAAGGGTCTTGCTCCCCCGGTTTTCAAGTTTTGTGAGGGCCAACCTGGCAAGACTATTTCTCTTGTTTCTGCCCCAGCCACAAGGCCTTGCCCTGGAGACACCTCTGATCCTCAGAGTTCTCTGGAACTCTGTATGCAGACACTGGAGTTCTGTGCCTCCATTCATTTTCTTTCTGCCTACCTGTGGGTGCTTCAGGAGGCCCCTGGCCTGTGATGGAGTGTTTTCCCAGCTGGGAGTGTTTCTTCTGGCCCCTGACTTATGCCCCTTACCCTCCTGTGTGCCTGCTCTTGCCTGTGCCTCCTGCCAGTAGTCCATGTGGCATGCATTGATAAGGTACAGCTCTGCTCCAGCTTCTTGTCTACATGTGTTTTCAGTCTTTGTTGGTGAACTCAGTCCTGGATGTTTTGAGGAGAGTCTGAAGCCCTGTTAGGTGATAATCAGGAAGTGAGGAGTCATTGTCACCTTGCCCAGACAAACTGTCCTGTGTAGTGCCACAATTGTGTAGGACAGAATGGGAGGTGGGAAAGGAGCCCCTAGGAAGGAGGAGACATCATGTAGGGTTCACCTGGAAGAACTCAGTTGTGTTTAAGCTCAAATGGGACCTTTCAGTCTCAGCTCTGTGCCTGGCGTGCTGGACCCTTGTGGCTCAGAGAGCTGGCTGGAGCCAGAGGCTGAGGTTGGGGGCCTCCACACCCGCTCCAAGATGTCTCTGATGGTCGGAGCTGAGTTGTAAAGTTCCCCAGGAGGGGTGTTGCTAGTGTTGGCTTTCATTCAGGCAGCCTTTCGGCTCTCTCCATTTTGTACTCTGGGGCTTTCATGTGGTCTCTTGTGTGAAGCTGTGTTCCTGGTGAAAGGCCATTTTCAGGATGTGTCTGATTTTATAAATTGAATTCTTAAATTGTGGTTTTGAAGAGCACCAGGACATAAAAACAGTGACAAACCACCCTTGGGGCCATGTTCAGCCAACAATGAGGACTTTTATTTAAAAAATAAAGCCATGGGTCATTTACACTGCACTGTGTTTGTTTTGAATTTATCTTCTGATGCTTAGCAGAAGCAAACTTCACTCACCTGCTTTGTTTGTTCTTTCTGCTCCTCAGGCTGCCTTCCAGGAGAATGTGGGGAGACAGGTATGGCAACTTTATAAATCTTCATTCCTAAGACTTTCTGTAAGTTTGAGGTGGGATTCTTGAAAGCTGTGACTTACTTTGTATTTTGCATTGTTGGATGTGGTAAAGAATGCAGCTCAGAGCAAGCTAATAAACACATCAGCTTCTGGCCCCATACTCCCATCATGTGACCAGAGAGTACTGACACCTGTGAGCTTCATGGCAGATACGTGTGTGAGAGTGTTGTATGGGTGACCTACATGGATACTGACACTCATAAACCTTTCAGGAGATGGTGTGTATGGATCAGGATTTACTTTCAGGAACTTGCCTCAC